CTTTTCTGCCTGGTTTCTTCTGGGAGTTTTCCAACTTCTATGAGATGCTTTTGTGTTGAATATCAACTCTCATCAATCAGCTCCATGTTGATTTTTTTTTTCACTGTCCTGTAAGTCTGAGACCACTTAAGAGGACATTTATGGAAACATGGAAAACATATTGTTTCATTTACGCATGCAACAATGCAAACACTTTCCCTTTGTGACTATTCAAAATATTAACATTTTGTTCTCTGTGTGTTATGTTCTCGGAATTGACTTCCAGCAGCTATTGTAGAATAAGGAAGGCAAAATATTCTATCATTATCTCAAAACATCTGATTGCTCAGTAATTGAGGAGTAAAATATTTTATTGAGTTTTTCTGAAACCAAATATTTATCTAATTTAAACTGTGTGTCAAAAATGATGAGATATAAGATATATATTATTGTGTGTCAGTGAGAGGATTGTTAGGAAAATGCATACTTTCTCTTCTATTAATTATCAAGTGGCCAAACTATTAACTATTGCAGGTGCTTGGATGGTGTAAAATAGGCTCTAAAACTTTCCATTCGATTTTCACTGACTTTCCTGGATAGTACTTTCAGAAGTAGTATTTTCACTTAGTGGATTAAGTGAAAGCCTAAGTAGCATTTACCCCATCCTGGACCTTAAATATTGAAGATATTTATATATTTCATGATGTGTTTTCCAGTCAGCCAAGTTGCATGATCAGATTTTTAAGATTTTGGTTTTGAATGTAATCATGGTAATACTTTTCTCTCACACCCCACAGAGATTTCATCTCTCGTGTCTGTCTCTCTCCAACTCTCAAGAAAGTAAAGTTCTGTGAAATAAGTCACCAGAGAATCTCTTCATGGCACTAAATACCCACAATCTAAAGGGGGTCTTGCAAGTAGTTCAAAGTTTTTTATTATTTTCTTTCTATTAGAATTACATTTAATAATGCCATTAATTTCCAACTTGCAACCGTCAGAAATCTCGATTTCACATGAGCTTTCACTCTGAACAGAATTTACTCTCTAATCTCAAACTGGCCACTGAGATAAGACAAAAACTTTTAATTAGAATTTTAATATGTAATCTAAGCCATTTACAGATTATGCACAGAGGTGAACTTCTATGTATTTAATAACTTTGTGGAGAACTTAGATAATGTTTAATTTGGTGGAGAGACTATTTTTAACTTTCCTGGAGTCGGGTTACCTGCAATGTTCCCTCAGTCTCTTAGAAGTTCTATCAGCGTGAGATTTATTGTGTGAATGAGTAACTGAATGTGTCTGTATCAAGTCCTGGGGGGAAATTATAAAATTTGGAATATTCTGTAATACAAAGAAGATATTCTGTTTTCCTTTCACCTTTCTTCTGGGAAACCTAATTTCATGTCCCTCAGTTCAAGCTATGTGGATGAAAAGAGATAAATACACAGCAGAGTGCCAGGGGAATTAGCCTCCCCCTCGCTACTGTTAATGAGTGGTGCCCCTAACCTCATGTGTTTATTCCATTCCTTAAAAACCCAGCACATGAAACAGTGTTTTTTTTTTTTTTTTTTTTTTTTTTTTTTTTTTTTTTTTTTTTTTTGTCTTCCTTTCAAGAAACAGTTGGCACTTTATGTCGGACTTCTGCTTGACATGAATTATTTGGCAAATTGGAGACTGAAGTGTGAATTATAAACTCAGGGCTGTATAATAGGCTTTAAAGGTGTTCTTTGACAAAAATAGCCTAGTTGGGATTTCACACACCAAAAAAAACTTTTTTGAGAAAAATGATCTTTTCCCCTGCTCATGAAATAACAAAGAAATGTACCTTGCACAAATACCGATACCCATTTATATGCAAACACACACACGTACTATGCAGGAGTGTATCCTGTTTTTTATTTACATGTGCACATGACGCTCATTAATGTTGATAACCCTCTGCACACGCCTCCAAAAATAATGGACCCCAACTGTGAGAACTGTCTGTATTCAAACACGTTAAGAGCTGAATATTTAAAATCTGTCTGGCACACCAAGCTTGGTTTTCTGAAGACAGCAGAAGTTGGACAGAAAGATCAAAGAAAAAAAAAAAAGAAAAAGAAAAAGCACCATAAAAGATAATGACATCTGGATGGGGCCTGGATAATGCTCTAATTAAATGTACTTACACCTAAGTCTTATCACATGCTCAGGAGTGAGAGCTTAGATGCCCCTTTCGAAGTGCAGCATTAGGCAGTCATGGGAGCCTGGCATGGGAGCGGCCACCTCTGCTGTGACCCAGCGCTGTTCTATATGTGTACCTGTAATCTGTCCTCTACTTTCTTTCATTGAATGGGCTTCTGCTATTTTGTTGTTAAGCTAGTCGTGATAAATTAGGTTATCTCTACAGCTTACGGAGGTAGGCATGCTTTCTAACATGGGTTTGGAAAAAAAATAAATCAGCTTATCCCACCTAGAAAAAACAGGATATAAGATTCTCTTCTTTCTTTGCTGGCTTAAAGGTGAAGATGAGTTTAGTAAGAAACCTCATAGTTTTCTGCCTGTCCAGGTATTGCCTTGACATCCTTTCCCTTCAGAGCGTAAGAGAAACTCTCCCTGAGTGTAAAGCAGAAGGTAGACTTTCAGAAGTTATCAATTCAAGCAATTTTGACTTTTGAAAGAGTTTCTAAAGCTTACCTTAATTGGACAAAGTTATAGTTAAATTAGCAAGACTTGAACTGTTTTTTAAAATGCTGGGATTTGGGACAAGAGACAGGGCGAAAGGAACTGTATTTTCTAGGTCTTTTTTTTTAATGGAGTTTTGAAAGGTCACGATGCAACAATCTCTTATTAGGTTTTCAAAAAAAAGAAATAAAACAAACCCTAGATCTTTAGAAGCATAGATATATACTGCATATCTCATTACCATTAATAGCCATTAATGGTTAAACCTCCCTATTGCATTGAGTATTTACCCTCTGGCTTTGTAAAGCGATGCTTGAGTGTGAGTTTTACAAAGGAATCTCATAACCATAGACTCTGTACACACCTACTATATCAGAACATGCAGTATTTCTTGAGTAAATGGTAACAATTACTGAAATTGGTGTCTGATTTAGAAAGAAAGTTCAAAGTGCTTGTATATCAAGTCTTTAGGCGGAATATAAGTCCATCTCTTATTTTAACTGAATGAGAAGCTACTTTTTCTTTTTTTTTCTTTTTTCTTTTGTTTTTCTATGCCCTGCCTTCTAATAGTGCTAAACAATCAAACGCAAACCTTCTTTCACTTCTTAGAAGACAATTATTCAATGAATACAACAAAGATAAAGTTGGAAACCCAGTGTAATCTAGAAAGGTCCAGGAATGTAAAGAATCAAATCTACCCTCTGGGTCTCGAGATCCTTTAGGAGAATATAGGACAAGTTAGTTTTCCCTGAGCCTTCTTAATTTTGTTTTACTGCCTTAGGCATAATTTAAACACTGGCAAGGCTATGGGGAAGTGAGATGCTTTTGAGGTGCTTAAGAAAGCAGTGGGGTCTAGAGAGACCAAAAAGATTCCAGCCCCTAAGAAAACAGAGGGCTACCAGAGTGTAGCTTTTTGTTCGAATGTTTTCAGTGTGCCACACCCCTATGCAAAAGGTTGGAACTCTTTGGTTTCAGTAACCCCATTCATGTTCTATAGTACTCATATTTACATTCAGGATGCTTTGAATAAACCCTATTTCTGTCTGACTTTTAAAATCGGCCGTGCTGTTCATCTTGGATGTCAAGGTTTTCCTTTACTCGGTAAGTCTACCCCGTGTAATCTAATGCTTCATTTCTTCTCAGAAAAAAAAATAAGATATTTGCATTAAATTTAGCATTTCAATAATAGTAGTGAAAAGTCCCTTTTTGTGAAAGATGCAGGATTAGTTCCTCCATGAGCTCATCTGCATCATCTCCATTTATTTCTTCTGGGAGATGAGAAGACCTTTGCATTTGACCAAAAAGCACTAGTAAATAAGGAGTTAAATTGAAGGCAGGCTCACTGGTTTGCTGAGATCTGTCAGAGTCTGACTGGCTGGCTACATATCTGTCTCTGGAACAATAGGTACCTGTATTCTGCACGGACTGCTGGGCAGCACTGACACTCTGGAGAAGGTCTGCCTCTGTCTGCGCTTCCCTGGTGAGAATCCCCAATGACAGTTCCACTTTTCAGTGGAGGAGAAAAAAATATCTGTCTACTCTCTTGATGAAGGACAGAGCTTTGATCATTTTTATTCAGGCTTGTCTTGACCGGAGGTTTTAGGTTCTTAGTCTCAAGTCAGCAAT